GTTTACAACTTTTTGCATTAATATTTGCGATTCCTATTAAATTTCACAGTATTTTTTTTAACAGTAGTGTTAGGGTAATTCCTAGTGTATGCGTCTCTACTAGCATTTGAACCTGAGACTGGGTGCAAATTTGTATGTAGTTTCCTCTTAGGACATTTAGAAACTTGTGAAATGGTATGCTTGTAAACGTATGTCTCATGTGAACTAGTTATGTTGCTCAAACTTTTAGTAAGAAGCTCTAATTAGAGTGTACTACGCCATGTATGTGTCTAGTTTAATAATTTCAGGCTCAGTATACTGGATAACCTCCTTCCAACTGCAGTGTTATTCAATTAGCTCTCTTAAGGTGCATTTCTGGATCTCAGTTGCATGAAATGCGTGTTTGGATTGCTCCAAATCTAACTTAGTAGTGTTTCTACCGTATGATCTGTTTATATATTCATGCATATAAATTAAAGATTGGTAAATTTACTTTTGTTAATCTAAATGACAGGCAACAAAGCTCTCACCAAGACACATTTTGGAGCATCTTCTAAACATTTGAAGGCTGGAGGCAATATTTCCATTGTCACTGTGTTTGCCACGTATAATGTTGATCAGCAGACAAATGGCAAATCATTAGACAGTGTTACGGTTGGGAACATTTCCTACAGCAAGGTGGAAAGGTCAATTGCCATCTTGAATGTCTTCGTTAATTTCATTCAGGTAAACCCATGTGCTAGACATTATAGATCAATCCCGTGTACTTGTTAAGATTCTCAAGTAGACTTTGATGCCATAAGCTCTGCTTTGCTGATATGAAAATTGGATAATCAGACAAAACACCAGCAGAAATCATTTTTGGAAAACTTCTCCTCGAAAGTTTTTTGTTTTCTTCCTACTTTATCCACAAAAAGAAGGCTATTGTTTTCTTCATATCACACTTTGAAATAGTCGAGACTAATAATGGTGAAGGTTACTGTGTTATGCATACCTCTTAATGGATCCTACAAAAGAATTTGCCTAGGATTGGTATTTTTAAGTGTTGTTTTTTGGTATACATATGTTTGAGATGCGTGAAGGCTTTCAACTGCTGAGGTTTTATGGTAGATGCACCTATTTGAAAGGCCTCTTGCATCCTTCTTAGTGGTGTTTGGCTCACTTTGGCAAGGTGTCAGGTAAAAGCATCCATGATAAAACATTAAAGACTGCCTTTCTCATTAGTCTTTAGTTCAAACTCATTAAAGTGAGCTTTGATCAATCGCTTATTTGGCCTTATTTTGTGGACGCAAACAAACAGAAGTGATGGTTTGCTTCGTCATTTTTTTGTTTCATAGTCTTATGAGAACCTTGATATTCCTTCTGGATATCTTGGCACTTCCATTTTTCTTTCATATTTTACTTCCAAAGTGCCTGTCTTGCTGCAAAATTAGAGTTCTTCTGATAAAATCTTATTGCCAAGCTATTGCCATATGTATTAGCTAGAAGTTGATTTCAGTTGCAATATATTTGACATGGAATTGATACGTGCAGGAAACCATGCCTCAAAGCAACATCATCATCCTTACTAATCCATCATCTAAACTTCCAGTGGAAAGAGATAGACTGACCATTCTTCCCATTCAAGGTGATTATTCACGAGAAATGTTGATGCTACAAAGAATCAGGTCTTACATTGTAAGAGCACAGTTCATTATTATGAAGGGTATTCTTCTTTTTATGTTGATTTGGCTTTAGAACTTCCCCAATTCCTATTGTGGTTACAGAACGCCAGGTGTGCTTCAGATTATCTTCTGTAACTCGGGAAAATCACCTTCCCAAACTGCGATAAGCTAATTGGCTACATGTATATTTGCATTTTCGAATGCACGTGGGCCTTTACTGTCCTTGTACTGTTGAATAATCCGTATCCTTATTTTAAATATTAGCAAATCATCATGTCCTTATACTGTTGAATCAACCATGAATATTTGCTTGCATTTGATTGGTCGTCTAGTAATTATTAGAGCTAATTCAGATTGTTAATTTGGTGATTTCTTGTCGCGCCAGAATAGTTTCTATGTTTCTTTCCAATTGGTCACTATAGTTAAGTGTCAGCGTGTTTCCAGAAATTATCGAGCAATTCTCTACAATGATGGCATATAAACATATAGTAAAGGGATATAGTTAAAAGTTCCATCTTTTGTATGTAAGTGTTGATTTATTGCAAAATTTTCTATCATTACTCTATTTCTGTCGATTTGTCGAGTCTATTTTCCTAAGAAAATTTTAGATGATTTGTCTTTTGTATCATGCATGGTGTTCTTTTCCGCTAAATGTTTTCCACTGCAGGTCTTTCTAGAAACTCGGGCTGCAGAGCATTCAAAATTGAAGGGACAAGTGAATCACTACATCTTTACCGACTCAGATATAGCAGTGGTTGATGATTTGGGGCAGATATTTAATGATCACCCTGATTTTCATGTGGCTCTAACATTCCGTAACAACAAAGAGCAACCTCTGAATTCAGGATTTATAGCAGTGAGGGGCACTCCAGAGGGAATTTTAAGGTTTGTTGATCTGTCTGTTCTCCCTGAATTTATGGGGGACAGTGCTAATAGGATATCTAGTAATGGTGATTTGCTTGCGTGTTCGATTTTTTTTGGATTGTGATAGCAACGAAGGGTGCTCCTCAGTCAATCCTAAGCTAATAGGTATTGTTTTATGTAGTTCTGATATTGTTTAGGAGGAACACCAGAGATTTAACAAATGTTTCTTTGTATGTATGCTTGAAATTTCGAAAACTTGTGATTTAGTATTATCTGTTTTTTTTGTTTGTCAGAATGTAAAGTTTCTTTCACTAATTTAACAGCAGAACTTGGAAATGCATTTGTTTATATCTCTTCCTAAAGCCATTGTAACTCCTTAACTGTGCAGAGCAAAGTTTTTCTTGGAAGAAGTACTAAAAGCCTACACGTCAAAGTTCATGAAAGCTTCCAGAATGCTTGGGGATCAATTAGCTCTTGCTTGGGTTGTAAAATCTCACTCTTCCTTTGATGTCCGAAGGTTTTCTAGGAAACAAGCATTTATGGACCAAATCAGTGGTGCTTCAGTGCTATTTTTGCCGTGTTCCATTTATAACTGGACACCCCCGGAGGGTGCCGGTCAATTTCATGGGATGCCCTTGGATGTTAAGGTACAAATCTGGTTTAAGCTTTGTTTTGGGTTTTATAAATGATAAATTTATAGTGATGTTCTGAAATTACTTTTGGATTACTAGTTTAGGGAGTTGTAAATTATTGACATATAAATATGTAGATGGTTATCAACTAAATGTACATATAACTGAAACAAAATATCCAAGTGCATTCTCCATGTTAGAATTTCAGAAGTCTGAGTCTCCATTATGTTGTACACGTGGCTTGTACAGTTGTACTGTTGCTTAAGTATAGGGCTGTAGGCACTCTTAAATCGCTTCCATGTGGACCTCTTAAGCGAAAAGATGCTGTTCACAGCTATTGAAAATCTGAAAAAGAATTAGAATTGGTAAACTTCCAATCTCATGATGAATGACATACTTCATAGATGAGATTACAAAAGGATACCTGGTTTCGTTCTGAGTTTTGGATTCGTTTTTGTGTACAGGTTGTGCATTTTAAGGGATCAAGAAAGAGACTTATGCTGGAGTCTTGGAGCTTCTTAAAGTCAACGTCATCTTCAGACATCGCCGACATGTTATGCTTAATCTTAAGAAGTGGCAGGACAAAGTACGATTTTTAGGGGAAGATTAATTTTGGCCTTATCAGAGGATTTTTTCTTTTTGAGCAAGAATGTGTGCACATTCATTTAGAAGAATGATCAGGCCCTCTGAGGTTGTTGGTTGTAAGACTAGTCAACGTTCGCGTTCCAAATGGAGCTTGAGCTTAAAACAACAGCTCAATATTGCCCGCTCAGATCAGATGACAGATGGTTTCTAGCTAAAAATGAAACAGACACAGCTTGTATTCTTATTTTTTTGTGTAACTATATGTACGTTCTTGAAATTGACTCCATGTTTCCTTCTTTGTTTTCTAGAAACATCAACAAGATCAGTATAGGCATTTATCTTTTGTGCTGTGTTCTATAGGAACTTCATCACTCTTTTCTCATCTTCTGGTATGTAAAATACATCACTAATATGTGTTGTTGAGTTTATACATTTATGAAATTGTTTATGATTTGCCAAAATGAAGCAATTAAGTTTTGATTTCTTTTTGATTTTGGGGTTCTCACTATAACAGTTGAAAATGTATCACATATTGATCAAAGGAGAAATTATGTGGCTTTGTTGAATAGGAAATTAAGTGGTGATAAAGAAAGGTTAGAGGTGCAAAGTGGCTGGTAGTCAACAATGGTGGCTGAGAGAGTTTTAAAGGAAAATAGTGCATGAGATGAGGGGGAGTTTTGAGAGTGAATTGTACATTTTTGAACTATCAGTGGCGAATTTAGAATTCTAATAGGTTCAAATCTGATGAAGTAAGAAGAAGTTAGAGGACATGAATATTCAACACTTATTTTATTTACATTAAAAATAATTTTCTCTTTATATTTAACACTAGTTGATATGTTAATATGAGAAGTACTATAATCTTTTTAGGATCATATAAAGTGAAAATCACTTCATATCTATATGTGGTGCTCAATATGCACACTTTATATGATGTAATAATAACTATAAACATTAGTTGACGTATTAAAATGAATAGTAATATAACCTTAAAAGGACCATCAAAGTTCATCTCAAACATCATTATTTATTCCTAACATAAAATTTGACTTAAATATAATTATTCCCAAGCTTGAGCTTAAAGACAAATAATTAAAATTAGAGGTAGGAATCTATACATCATTTAATTTTCATCATAGTTAACAAAGTTTTAATTGTCAAAGTCATAAGGGTATATATTAATCAAATTGAACAAACCATGATTATCACTTTACCATTTTCATAGAATATCAAAATCAAACTTTAAAATATCAATTGACTATCAAAATTACGATATCAAAACTTTCAAATAGCGTGTAATATCAGGCTCACCCTGTGGAAGGTCGGTCCATAAGGCGGGTCAGACTAAACTATAATAGCGGACCAACTTTCATCGGAAACTGTTTACGCCACACGAAAACAAAGCAAAATGGAGTCATAATTTCTTGTTTTTGTATAAAATTGGATGCATTTTTGCTGAAGAAATTGAAGAGAAAGAAGGAGAGGGGAAGAAAAAAAATGGCTAGTAGCTGTAGTTGTACATGTTCTAATTATAGACCTATAATTTCTGCAAAAAAATCAGATGTTGTTAATCGTTTTTTATCACAATTGATGATCTATGGAGATCGTAGAGTAAAGAAAATACCCAGAATTTGTGTTGTAAGAGCATCAGCAGTTGATAGTTCATCTCACTTTGTTGAACGCATCGAGAAGGCATGGTTGATTTCTAAGGTACTTCCTTTTTCATCTCAGCTTCTCATCAATTTTAGCTTTGATAGATGCTTGAAAAAAAATAATTACTTTTGTGTGTATTTAGCGAATTAACGACTAGCAGTCAGTAAAGCTAAAATGGACCTATGGAAAATTAGGATTTAAATTCCTGTAGAAGCAATCTAAGACTTGGTGGAGAGAGTTGATCACTATTTGTTGTTGGTGGGTGGCAGAGGTGAATCCAGGATTCCTAAATGCTTTTAAGATAAAATCTAAAATTTTATAGTGACAAGAATATTTTAGTTGCTTTACTGCATATTTCTGCTGCTGTATGCATTATCAGAAATGGAAGTTATTATAAGGCTGTAAAAAGGGGGATGAATGGGCAGCAAATGGGATTCAATCCTGCGACCTTAAGGGTTATGACTAGGGCTCAAACCAGTGCACCACTCAAGTCTCTTTTGAGTTTTGACCATGGGTGCCTTCAAATAATACTAGATATATTTTAAGAATTATACAAATAAGATACCGAGTTTAGTTAGATGATCATGGGTTCACGTGACCCTTTTTTAACACATAAATTCGCCATTGCCTGGTGGATTAATAGAGACGTGCACAAGCTGGTGTGGACACGATGTTGTAGAAAAAATTGATCAATCAACTATTTCCCTTTAACCCCTAACTAGTTGAAGTTGGCCTTGTGAATCTTCTATATCCATTCCGTTCTGCCTATGTGAGCTTCCCATAGCCAGTCTCAAGTCCGGATAAAGGAGGATGGTGGCCAAATTGATAAATAGTATAAATAATCATAGTATCATGAATCCTCTAAGTATTGTGTTCATCATATGCCCTCCCTTATACCATCTAGTATTTCCTGTCATGCCCTTCAGTTCATCTTGAAGTCTGGTTTTGTTTCCAGTGAAGCTTGGGGCGATTTAAGTTTTAAGCTTGAAGAAAAGGAAAATGGATTATGGAAACAATGATAAAAAGAGAAGATTTTTATTTATGCTTGTTCCTTGGCTAAATAGATGGTGTTATCCAGAAATGTTAACCTAGGACTATGAGTTGTTAATGAGGTACAACATTCCTAATTGCTTGTTCCAGCATCATAACTTCTAGAAAGATGATTCCCCTCTTTTTACTCTCATACCTTGGTCTCTGTTTTCACTTTGATGGTGATGATTGATTATGTTACCCTGGATTGGCGTTTGACTAGTAAGACTTAACATTGTGCACATTGACAAAGAGAGCTGAGTTAGTACCTATATGTGGCTATGATGCTGAAGTGAGCAGACGATACATACATGTATGCTTCAGATACTTTATCTTAAGTCTAAAACTAGAGAACTATATCAAAAAAAAAAAGATGATGCACAATAACTCTATAGCTATTATTTCAATAAGATGGTGTACATGTATGCTTCAGATACTTTATCGGATATATCATGTTTGAGCAGCTTCGCTGACCTCCTAGAACACCTAACCTTTGCTTGTCAAGAACCATTTAGCTCTGGTAGGTTATAAAGAGGATCTTTGGATCAAATAACCTCAAATATCCCAGGACCCAGAGTTTAACTTGAAACAAGATCTATGGGTCGACAATCCACTCACAAAACTCCATTTGTGAGGGAGGAGCTTGAAAAAGACTACATACACCAAACAAAAAGAAAAGAAAAATGAGAACAGAAAAGTTAAAATGAGATACCATTTTGTGGAAGTAAACCTGAAGAGTACTTCCTGATTACCATTTAATGGAAGAAAACCTGAAGACCTAAATCTTTGGAGCTGATATAATTTAGGAATTTGGGAGCAGGGAAGGAGTTACAGAGGATTTTTCCTTCATACCCAATAAGAGCACAATTTCCCACTCTAAAAAAGCACAAAAATTCCAACTCACTCTTTACATGAGGGATAAATCAAGTTTTCTTATGTTCAACGGTTGCTACCTTGTGGGAATCTGGAAGGCATAATTCAAAGACATGATAGCATAACCTCATTTCTTACCTATGGACTGTGTAAGAAATTATGCTATTTAGGTTTCTCTTTCTCTCTCCCTATGTTGTGAAGTATCTTTATCTCTCAGCTTTGTTGCACACATGTACAAACCCTGCATGGACCCACCTGTGCTCATTACAAGTATCCATGATTTTCACTTTGGTTTGTCAAGCTAGGTGGATTTATACATCTTTGGAGGTTAGATGGTTTATGAAAAGCTTCTGGTTGAAAAGCACATGATTTATGGGTCGAGAGAGCGTCTTGTGGTCAAACATAAATATCTAAAATACTGGCCTACTTGAGAGAGGTTTAGAGTGGGGATAAGAACATCTATCAAGTTGTTTTGGTAGTATTTTTGAAATTCTATGATATGGTATATCCTAATAGGGTGTATGGTGTCTTTTTGTTTATGAAAAGTTTAGCTAATTATGGGGACTTTCAAGTTACAAATTGGCTGGTTAGGCCATCTACTTTTGTAGAGCAACACCTAAAAATGTTAAGTCCTACTCATGCAGCCCGAACCACAACTGTAACCCAAGTCAATTCCCAGGGTTTTTTTAAATCTACTGGTGAGATACAGACGATATACATGCAGGTGAATAGTTTATTTATAAATAGAAAACCCCGGAATGCAAGATGGATACAGAAATCAGAATATCCTACAAAAATATAATCTGTACCTGGAGTATCCAATCATCCACATTGGACGGAATGTTTTTGTGGTCTCCAAACTGTAAGAATAATAATTGCCTTTTCGAAAGTCATGTGATCCATATGCTTAACCAAGTACTTCAGTGGGAGATTCACTGTTTTTTATAATCAAATAAATAACTCAAATCGTTTTCTTCTGTCTCGTACATATCTGAGTATCAATGTTAAAGCTTGTATTTGTAACAAGACTTTCCTCCATATTGATGTTGCTGCCTATTTTCTTTTTTCGCTTCCCTGATGTGTGCAGCAACCTAGGCCAATTATATGCTCTACTTGTGACTCAAATGGCCTTGTGGATTGCAACTGGTGTGGCGGTACTGGTTTCTTTATACTAGGCGACAATATGCTCTGTCAAGTGCCCTCTCGCAACACTAGCTGTGTCATCTGCACTGGAAAGGTAACTGTCCTGAGCCTATGTTATTCTAAGTTGTAGTTATTGCAGATTTCCTCTTAAGACTGATTGTGTTCTGATAGATTGAGTTGTAATGCATATATGTTTAGACTAGATGCAATTCAAGTGAGTTAACTCTCTGCTATTTTAGGGTTCTGTATGCTGCACCGACTGTAAAGGAACAGGTCACCGTGCAAAGTGGTTGGGAGAGCCTCCTATTCCCAAGCCTCCTGTTACCGAAGAGTAGCTTCTCCACTGATTTCTTGAAATTTTAATCAAGTTCTTGATCCTTGGACAGGATCAATGTTCAGAATGCATCTTGATACTTGTATTCATTGTTGAAAATATATTTCTTTCTAAGTTGTACAATTTGTTACATCAGTTTTCATGATATACCATTTGTGTAAAGCACAATTCTTCCTCCCTTTTGGTTCTCTTTTGAGCCTGATAGAAGCTTTTTGAAAATGATAAATGAGATTGTATAGCATTAATTTTCGCGAAGTTCAGCAACATATGCATCTTGCATTAGAAGTTCATGATTTTACTGTAGATTTAAGGTAATGTAGAATTCCTGTCTTAATTTTAGTCGTCTTTATCAGCCAAAAATAGAGGGCAATGCAGTGTGTTTTCTGTACTAATCTATTTTTCTCCAGAGTACTTTCAAATTCGAATAATGTTAGTTTTGAGTCGTAATGTTTGATCATATATTGTTCAAATTTACAAACAATGTTAGATGTAGTCTAACATTGGTAATAACTACTATTAACATTTTAGATTATGCTCCTTACGTTTCCTCATAGGATTTTCAGTTTATTCAAAATAGGTTTTTCAGATTGTAATTTAAAAGCTTCATAATTTGCCAGAAAAATAGAAGGATGTTTTCATCTACCTTGCAGCAAAACATGCACCCAAGAATAATACCTATCTTTTGTTGATTAAATGCACTTGGCTCAGTTCATTAGTTTGCTTTATTTTTCTTTATTACTTTGAGAAATCTGCGAATGAACTAGTCTTTCTATCTTTCTTTATAATTAAATACTATGATTTGGTCCATGAAAAGGTTCAAATTTATGACATACTCGCTTAATTTACGCATCATATGTTGTGCTGTTATTATTCAGCTAAAACTTGCAGCTATCATTTTTTATTATATTGTAAAAGTCTTACCTTTTCTTTTCTATAGTTAAAAGTGCAACAAAAATTAAGTCACTTCCCACCTTTTGTCATCTTATTAGTGTAGTACCTTGACTTCATCCAAAGATTATACTCCTATACAACTTTCAAGAATACAAGTTCATTTAATATTCAAAAATTTAAAAAGTTCTCTCTAAAAATGAAACCTTTTACTATAGGTTTAATATTCTCTAATCTCTATTTTTCTTCCACTGCCACTACTTTTAACTCCATATAATACCATCAAATAAAATCAGACCAAGAAAACATGAAATTTGTAAAACAGAGATATATGTAAACCAATGGGTTCTCCGGGGAGTATGGGTCCGCCCCTCTACCTTTCTCCGCAATAGGGGTCAAAAGCCACCTATCATGCCAAATTTAAGATCAAAGTACCATATTGGAAAGGAGTATAACCTTTGCTCAAACAATGAAGCATTCATTTTCTAACATGTATTACAATCCTTTTTACATTCTTGTAAAAGAAAGAAAGTTACTTGATGTTACTAATTCCAGTCTGAAATAGCAAGAAAGAGCAACTATGTAAACTTAAAGAACAAAAAAAAGATACAGGAATTCTCCAAGAGACCATTGCAAAATCTCCATTTTAGAACATAACATGATAAGATGTCATACAAGCTCATATAGTACTAGATATCTAACATCAAGCATCTTCCCAATTCAAAGGTTGAATGACTTCTTAGTTATCATGGACAATAGCTGAAAACAGCATCTGGTTGATATCTTCACCTGATTCAGGACTCTCTTCCTCTGCATAATGGAGATGTTAGTCAACAAAAATAGATCTGCCCCCTTCAAGAAAAAACTACTTAAACGAATGACATTGATCATTGGTATTACGTTCTACTATTGATCATTGAGTAAATCCCGTAACAAAACCTGAAAGCACAACAGATGCTTTCATGGCAGGAGAGAAACAACACATGCAACAGATGCTTCAATGACTAGAGAGACAGTATCTTTCATGTCAAATCTAGATGTTAGAAGAGTCTTTAATTATGGTGTAGGAAGAGCATTGTATCTGATTAAGTCTCTATGTCTGACCTCCTGAATTCGAAAACAGCCTCTTTACGTTCTCAAGATAGGGTTAAGGCTGCGTACACACCACCCTTCCCAGACCCCACTTGTGGAATTACACTGGGTATATTGTTGTTGCCTGACCTCCTGAATTTCCTTCTACCTGGAGAAGGCTGTTTCACATTTCTCTCTTTTTTGTACTTTTTGGCACCTCATTGGTACACCTTAAAAAAACTAAAAGCACATATTTATTTAAACCATGAATGTTTATGAGTATCAGCAAAAGCCAACCTACACCCGTTCCAGGGTCGGAGCTGGGAAGCACTCAAAGAAATAAAGGTAAGCCAGCAAACTATGCCTTAATCCCAAACTAATTGGTGTTGCCCATTTGAATCATGTATTTCTATTTTGCTTTATTCGGACCTATTTCATACCACTACTTGTAGTTGATAGTCATTTAAGACAAATTAGAGATTCTCTAAATCTCTGACTTATCCCTACCCGGACATAATGTAACAACTAACTTTTGATTTTCACTAACTTGTGTTGTTCTTAACTAAGTCTGCGGAAATAGTAAGTTGTACATTGCACCCATTTCTTAATTTAAGCAATTGAGTTTAGATGCCCAAAATGCTCCCAGGGACTGATCACAGCTAGCCCAAAGTTGACAATGCAGTGCAAGGGTAAAGCCTTTTCAAAAGAAGATTTAACAAACCATCAATCACCAAGGTTCAACAATTTGCGAAGTGGTGATGAGGAAAAAAGAGAAAAAGCGCTGCTTTTAAGTTTCAAAAATGGTCAAAAGCTTGTTGGTCACAGTCACAACAGAACCATCAGACACATATTTACCCTCTTTCATTTTTTATTTTTTTTCTTTAGATAAGAAACATAATTTGTATACCAGTCAAGTGTTAAAAATTGAACATATAAGTTATAGAACTAATATTATGATACTGCACCTGTTCTTGATCTGACTTGAGTTGTCCATTCATCAATGACCTGCACATCAACAAAAAACCACAGCAAGCACTTAAATGCCATGAAACTAAATCAGGAATCCTTGCCCTTCAGATTAGATTTTTGCTTGCTGGCAAATGATGCACAATATTTAGAAACCATTTGGAAATTTTTGCAACCTTGCTACAGTCTAGATGAAGTCAATAAAATTGCTGTTAGATAGACAAAGCAGAGTAAAACCTAGGAATTGATAGACAAAGAAGGATGTGAGATGAAAATCATTTTTCATGTTAGAACCTTATCTCTTGGAGCAAATTATAATATATTATACACACTGATTACAATTCAAGCATGCAGTCTTTCCAGATAGAATGGCTCAACCATATTTTTAGGAACAATATTATTGCTGCAAAATCAAGTTACCTGGTTGAAACTAGCATATGATGGATCATCAGAATCACTGATGACAGGAACACCTGTGGATAATTGCAACCTTTGCACCAACGACCTGTTCCCAACTAAGGTTCCCCGAGCTTTATCAATCAAATCCTGTTTTTAGTGCATTCAGCATAAAAGCTTTTAAATCCCAGCACAGTAAAAGCAACATATATAATAAAGAATGAGGTGATTGGACAGCTCTTTGCTACTAATAACCAGAAAGTCTTGGTCCCAACAATCGCAACTTGTAAAGTACAGAAAAGCTATACATGAACTTTACATACAGACTCTGATTTTTTGTAACCTCAATTACTCAAAAGAAATACATATCTCATTCAAATTTCACACTGAGCTTTGATATATGTGTTCCAGTACTAATCCATGGAAGGAGGATATTCAAAATAATCAAGAGGTAGAGGATACTAAATCATAGGCTACAAACAAAACAAAGTACACTTCTTAATTTTGAACTGCATTTCTTTTGCTTTATCATGGATTCCATCATTAAGGCATTCAACTTCTGTGGCAAGACTACTCATATGAGATTACTTGATGTAGACTTAAGTATCAGAAACTCAATGCTAAAGATTCAGCGGTAAGGTTTCTACTACATATTCAATGCAGCCATCAGTTTTTCCGAAGGACTAAACTGTAGCATCATATGAAATCTTCAGTCAGTTTGACCAAGTTTTGTGAATTTGTTTTTTCCCTGAATATCCTTTCGTTTTTTCATTGTCCCACACTTAACAGATGTCACTGAGCTTGACATCATCATGGTCCATTTCTTTGTAGTTCCACTACTTTGAAAACACAGTATTTGACACTTCATCATCATAGTAGTGGCATTTCCATGATTATAACGGATTGATGATAAATAAAAATGCAATGCATTTATAAGCAGTCTAGCTCACACAATCTGGTACCAACAACACACCACATATCTTCTCTGTCTTTTTTTTCTTTTGCTTTTCCAAAGGGTACGAGCAGACAAACATCATAAAGTGACATGCTAAGCTCAATATCGACTTGAAGTCCAGAGTCAATTGTAATTGTTACGAGTGAAACCTCATATAATGTCTCCCATCAACAATAATCATGGTTCAATGGATTCTACTATCATATGGAAGTGAACTTGAAGTATTATTGACCAAAACTAGTTCTCATACACAACTACATGAGCAAGATTGAAAAAGTTGGACTGTGATTGACTTGATGTTTGAGTTCAAAGTAGTTATAACTTATTACCAGATTATACAGTTTCCAACATCATATTCCCGATGGCCAAGCAATAACTCAAACACGTTTTGACTTTTGAAAACCATTTGGATGGAGAAGTGGGCAGAAATCAGTTTCTCTTTATACCGTGATGGTAACCAGATTTCAGCTTTTCACCAGGAACTCTAGAATAGAAAGTTGTCCGGAAACTGTTTTTTGACTAAAGAACCACGAAAAAGCTTTAGATACTTTGGAAAACAGGTGAGAAAAAGAAACAAACCCAGTCTAATATTGGACAAGAAAAGGAAGAGGATTACTGCAAAAAAAAATAACTGGCTTTACCAACTATACAAACACAGGCCAACAAACCTAGCTAAAACTTTAAATCTCATGACAGTGCCTTGTTCCTCACAAATATGACATGATTCAAGCAACCTGGTTCACTTTCTTCTACATTTAAGTATTAATATAATCTAAGTGTAAGAAACTCACATAACATTAAGGTTCCAAAGCAGAAAAGACAAATACACTCACAGATTAGTATACATACATACGTTAATTTGTCTTGAAACACAAACTATTGAGTACTTAAATAAAACAGATCCAATTATAGCAGACGGATATAGATAATTCATACAGGTAGAGGGAATTTATATGCTATATTATGGGGCACGAGAACCCGTGGTCTCTCCATAAAACTCGGTATTTGTATATTATTGTATATATCA